CAGGTCACTGGCTACACTTACATTATGGTAGTGTTTTCTGAACTTTAGTCAGTTATGTTTTACTATTGCAGTGTCTGAAAGGTCTGAGTACTATCTGTATTATTACAGATTTTTACTTGTACCACCCACCTACAGTTTTGCTTGTGTACTTAGTCTACAGTTAAAGCATATGTATAGCGAAAACATTTATATTTCTCCTAACATTTTATCTCCATTTTCCATTTGCATACAGTTAGGGAGTTATTCACTAAAGAGCCGAAGGATCCAGCCGTAGCTTCAGCTGATCCTTTGGTTCTCTTCGGCCGCCTCTGCCCTTCAGTTCAGTCGAAGTGTGGAGAAAGGTCGGCCGAAACCGACCGCTCTCCACGAAAGTGACAGCTCGACAGTTGTAATGATAGATCAGCGTCCTCAAATGACCTGGGGACACTGATCTGTCATTAAGCAATTATTTGTAATTTTTTTTTTTCTTTTCTTGAAACTATTTGAATTCTTTTTTAACTTTCCTATTTATTTACATTTTTAAAACTATTTTTCAACCGTTTTTTTTTTTCTCATTCATTGCACTCTTTTTCTATTCTGCGAGGTAGCTGCGATATACAATAGCCGAGCCAAATGCCGTTCGGCAGCATTCGGCGATTCACTCACTGCCGTTCGGCCCCTATGAGAATAGGGGCGAACGGCAGCGAGTGAGCTGCCAGAGCTTCGACTCAGCCGATCCAGATGTTTGATCGGCCGAGTCGAAGTCCCTCTGCACTTAGGCTCAGCCGAACATGCAGAGCATGTTTGGCTGGCCAAAGGCAGCCGATGTACGGCTGATTGCAGCCAATATATGGCTGAAATCAGCCGTACTGTGCCGGAGTGAATAGCCGAACTTCGTTCGGCTCACTTCACTTCGGCTGCTTATGGCAGCTTTGTGAATAACCCCCTTACTGTTCAGCAGGTCAGCTGAAAATATGCTCCTTCCCATTTTCTCATGTGCATGTCTTTTACCTCTGTTCAATGTGGTCAACCTTGCACCTTTGAGAGGACAAATATCCATTTAGGATTCAGCAAAATAGCCACCTGGACTCATAAAAGAAGGTACTGTTGAATATTCACTGGAACCCCTACCAACCCTTTTTTAATATTCCCTGGACCCCCTCCCCCCCCCCCCGCCTTATACTCTTTAGGATTTACTGTATATATTAAAAGGGGTTGAGAAAAGTAAACAAACAAATGCAGAAAAATTGCAACCGTTGTGCTTTGGTTCTGCGCCCATTTATTCATATGCTTAAAGGAGAACATGAAGGTGAGTGCTTTTCTAGTCGCAGGTCGGCTCAGTAGATCGGGAGGTGAGCGAACACATACCGGCGTTCGCTCACCTCTCGATCCTGTCACGGCTCTCTGCCGTGACAGGAGAGGGGCTGGATTCCCCGCTCCGCCAGCGCTGACTGGCTCATCGGACGGGGGAGGGGGCGGGTACAGCTGGCTCTGCCTCTAGATAGGCAGAACCAGCTGTCAGTCACGCAGCTGGGCGGATCCCGGCACAATTGTTGGGATCCGCTTCAGCTGCGGCGTCTCAGTATACCGCAAACAGCAGCTTGCGGTATACTTCGGCGTCTCAATATACCGCGAACTACAGCTTGCGGTATACTGAGCCTAGGGTGACGGGAGGACGCTAGTTTGTGTCCTCCCGTTACCCTAAGGTCTCGTTCACACCTAGGCGTATTGCATATGCGTGTCTGTCGCGTGACCGTCGCACGTTTTTTTACCGCGATTCGTGATAAAAAAGTTGCGCGACCGTCGCGCGTTTCCGAAGGCTACTTGGCCTTATCCCAATGGAAACGCGCAACAAAACGGCCCAAAGTAGTACATGTACCTTTTCAGGCGTGGGCCGTTTTGTAGCGCGTTAGGGACGGGCGGAAATACGCCAAGGTGGGAACGAGACCATTGAATACAATGGGATTTATATTTTTGAGCGTTTTGTAGAGCGTTCGTCGAGCGTAGAACGCGCTACAAAACGTTCAGGTGTGAACGAGGGCTAAGGAGAACTATGGGGAAAAGCCTTAACCCCATAGTTCTCCTTTAAAGGACGATCTTAAAAATCATTAAGCTTATCTATACTCTCTGAAGACGAACTTTAAGTATCCTTGCCTCTGTGAGGAGCGCCACTGTATAGTGAGACCTGTCTGAGAGGACCGCGGTATTATAGGCTTTGTTTAAGTGTTTTAAATTGTCACAGCACTTGCTGGGAACGGTCTCTGTTTCCATTAAAAAACACATGGTGGCAGTGAACGTGATGATCGCTCTCAGTCTGCTGGCCTAAGATTGTTGTCCGGCGAGCTGAGAGTGGTATCGCCACATCTTTGTAATGCCACGCTCAGTTCAGGGCTACGCATGGTCACGTGCGATTGGCATACAGTGGGTTGGGGCCCAGGCGTACGTCACACATATGTCATCAGGGGAACGGCTGCAAGGAACAGGAAGCGCCAGGAGGCCCCTTGCTGACATAAGAAAAGAAGATGGCGGCATGGAACCCAGTGTGGAGCAGCTGATTGCAGCAGACCGTGTTGGATTTGCTGGGCATGAATATGTTTTTTTTAATACAACATAGCAGACATGGGAAAAGGAAAATAAATAGAGGAAGGTAAGTTACTCTAGATGTGTCTGAAATGAAAATGAGTTCATCCTATTCTTCACAAATCTCCTCTAAGTTGGTGCGATAGGGGCGGGCAGAGGAATAGGGGAAGGAGTGCAACACACCGAAGTTCCGGATGTGACGTCACCGGAAGCACAAATCCTGCAAACGTTATTCCTTCCCGTACTGTTTGTGTGTGGCGGGAGGCGTTCTGGAGCTGTTGTTTCTTGGAGTTGATGTTGGGCTCAATTTGCCGCCATGGCTTCCACTAGTAACAGCCCGACCGAGAGGAAAAAGGTGTCCGAGCTGCGTGTTATCGATCTGAAATCCGAGCTGAAGCGGAGAAACCTGGACGTGACTGGGGTGAAGAACGTGCTGGTTGCCCGGCTCAAGCAGGTATGAGGCCTGTCTGTCTATATGGGGGAGGAGGGCTGGTGCTATGGCTTCCCTGCATGGTGTGGGCCGGCTGATCCTTCCTGAGGCCATGACTATGGGTGAAGGGGGGAGTGCACTGCTGTCTGTGCTTGGAAACATGCTATATGTATAGTTCAGCTCGGCGCCGGTTCTCCCTTTCATTTTACACAGACTGTTCTGGACTTGTCCTAGTATGTCCATGGCAGTTCTCATAGCACGGTGAGCCCTTTTTCTGTAATGTAGTAAACGATTAGTAAATACAAAGTCTGCCTTTTATCATTTGTAATAACCAATTAGAAGCTGAAGAGCAGTAACATGTTTGTGACCATGCCTGGCAGTTCTAGTCTCCCTGGGTATGTCATCAGAGGTATAGGGTTATACAGTACCAAGGGATCCCTGGTACACTTCTAAGCTACGCTACAAAATAAAACCCTCTCCAGGCATACAAAAAAAACGACCTTTGCTGTGTGGATACCTGCTGGGTTAAAGTGACACTAAACTCACTCAGGAGTTAAATCTTAAAAGTGCTTCAAGTACCTTTTTAACTATTAACAAATGTATCTTATTTGTGTATCGCTTGGCTGTAGATCCTCAAATCATCTCTGAATTCATACTGACACCTTCCTTCTGGAGGGTGGCTACTTCTGTTCCCCATGGTCCCCGTGTGTGTTGTAAATGCTCCTTCCCGTTATGAGCTACAATCTCAATATAAATTAGTAAGCTAAATGTGAGATTGTAGTGCATCATGGGAGCAAGCTTGGAGCGGTGACTACTTTACAATACATACAGGGACCATGGGGAACAAAAGTAGCCACCAGAAGTAAACTGTGTCTGCACCAATTCAGAGATGATTTGAGGCTCTACAGCCGAGCGATACATAACATAAGATTTTTGTTAATAAAGTATAACTAAACTTTTTTTGGGTATATATCTATATGCAAAAACATTTTTTTTTTTTTTTAAATTCCTAAACGGATTTACTTACCTCTGTTGCCAACGCTCGCTCCTATCTAAAGATTCTCGAGTGGCCGTGAAAGGTCATGGGGCGGGTGCATGTGCAGTGGAGATCTTCTGCTGGGAGAAGAGGAGAGACACAGTGTAAGTAAATGCGGGCAGCCCAGCAGCGTGCCACGCAGACAAAGTAGGCACAGCAGTCAGTGCTGGATCACAGACCGGCACCAGCCACTATTGGAAAGAAGATGATCCGATCAAGAGGCATCATTTAAGGTAAGTCCTGAAAGCAGCACTGGGGGAGAATATTTGTGACTTGAATGCCACTTTAAGGTACTTGAATGTATTTTTAATAGGGCTGGTAATGATTAAAATTTTCCTGTTCGATTAATCAAAATTTTTTTTAATTGACTAATTTCGATTAATTCTAACGCACATACAGATCTCGCAAACCCTAGAGCCGCCTCTGCCCACCGGTGACCCTTAGCGCTGCACATTCACTCACCAGCCTGGTGAGACTCCTCAGAGCTCTGGTGAGACCCCACAGAGCCCTGGTTAAAGTAGGGTTCAGTGGGGTCTCACTAGTCCTGGTTAAACCCCACAGAGCCCTGGTTAAAGTAGGGTTCAGTGGGGTCTCACTAGTCCTGGTTAAACCCCACAGAGCCCTGGTGAGACCCTACAAAGCCCTGGGTTCTCACCAGGGTAGCAGATAGTAGATTTCTAACAGGGTAGTAGATTTTACATGACACATTATTTAATTTTTATTTTAGCTGCATTGTAGTATGTACACATTGTCCACACATCCAATGCACTAATGAAGCAGGAGACTCACCGCCCAAGGGATCCCGTTAGGTAACGAAGGGAAGGGGGAGGATTCCGGTGACGTCACGGACATCCTCCCCCTTCCCTTCGTTACCGATCACGGGACAACTACATCGCCCGACTCCTCCCCCCTTCCCTTCGTTAGCCAACAGAGCCACTCGAGGAGGAGTTCTGTGACATCACCGGATCTCCGACGGAAGACCCGGAAGCCGGCGGAGAGGTGAGTACGGATCAAAAGAACTTTGATCGATCAAAATAATTTTGATCGATCAAAGAAATTAACGATTAATCGACGGATTAATTGTTAATTTCCGCACCCCTGATTTTTAAGGTTTATCACTTTTTTTAGTTTTTTAGTTACATTGAGTTTAGTGTCAATGTAACTAAAAACTATCTGCGTTTTACAACTGTGGGACATGTATGCCAAAGAATAAACAGAGGCTGGCAATTCACCAGAAGCCCAGATATCACCTTTTAGAAGGCAGCTGATAACTTCCAGTATGGTTCTGCACCAAATCCAAACAGGCAAACATGGCAGCTTTTTAGACCTGTTTGAAACTTAACAAAAAGAGAAAGCACATCTTTATGCTAGCCAGCAAAATTAACACAACTGAATTGTGGGGCTTTTCTCCCAGGCTCATGATGATGGTTTCTGAGATCGGCACTGCTGTGCATGGCTTCGTCCACATAGCTGTGTCATCCCTTCACGGGATCTGTGCATGGAGAGACTACAATTCCTATCTGCCACTGTGCTGGAGGAACTAGTAATTCTAAATGGAGAACAAGCTTGGTGATGTCACAGTGCTTTAGTCCACTGATGCTTCCTCCAGTCCTGTAACTGAAAGCCTATAGCTTGGTATGGACAAGGCTGTGAGGGAGAGTCTGCAGGAATCTGAGCTTTGCATCTGAATGCCAATAAACAAATTTGTGCTCTGGGCCTTATTAAAATACCTTTTGCAAATGCATGCTGTACATTTGCCTGCCCATGTATACCTTTCCCTTTTTGCTGGCTTCAGACAGATTAGATTTTCTGCCATTGTTGCTGTTTTTAATATGACCTGTATGTCATCTCCAGGGGACAGGTTATAGGAGCAGGAAGAGCTGTTTTTGTTATGTTTCTTTGGGAATTAGCTGGAATATCTATGGTAGAATGGTGAATGAACACATATTTTAATATAGTTTTAAACACTGTGTGTGTGTGTGTGTGTGTGTATCATTTGAAATTGAGGATTCTATATGATGAGTTGTGGGTTGTTTATATAATTCTTTATGAAAGTATTGTGCCTTGGCATGAAACATGTCAGAAGTGTTCCTGCAGCCTTTTTATGTAAACTTTACACTTATAGAAAACATAAAATTAACCCCTTCATGACTGAGCTTGTTTTTAGTTTCTGTTCGTAAATGACTGACACACTTTTGACATTTTTGCTGTGTGATTCTTCCACGTCAGTAATATACTTTCTTACTAAATGTACCCACACATATTATATATTGTTTTTTAGAGGACAGATAGGGCTACATATTTATATCACATATGTGTGTCTAACGCCTCACTTAGGACAAATAAAATATAAAAAAGAGAAAAAAAAACGTTAAAAAAACACTTTTTTCCCAGTTTTGATTTGTAGTATTTTTTTTACAACACCAGCACAGCTAAAAAAATGCAATAAATACATTCATTTATTTGTCCCTTATTTTATTTTATTTTTACACTTTTTTTTTTTACACTTTTTTCACTTTTTTTTAAACTTAAAAATTGTATTTTATTTAATTATATCAAACAGTCATTGTGAATTAATCTCACTGTTACTGCTTGATAAATTAATACATTTTTGGTTATTATCAGGTTGCTTCAAACTTCAGAACAGCCGATAATAAGTTAGTGACACTGATCCTGCAGCAGTTCAGGATTCAGCTGTCACTATAGGTTTCCTGATTGTTGCAACAACGATCAGCAAACTGAAACATTCTTCTTCCAGGAATAGATACATTGTAGGAATAGACACATTATGTATCCATGAAAGGAAAAAAAGAAAAAAAAGTCAGTATAGCTTGAGAGAGAGATCTCTCTCGATCTATACGAGCTGTCAGAATGCCGGCAAAAGCCGGCATGTGTGTCCCTCTGCTGTGACTCTCAGACACCCGATATTAAGGTATCGGGTGTCTGAAAAAGGTTAAGGGCATCCATTAATGAATGTTAAAAGCTGATTCTCAGCGTTTAACAGCCCTCTAAAGAAGCAAATAACTTGTCACGTACAGTGTACGTGACAAGTCATTTGGTCCCTTTGTGGCTGGACGTACAGTGTACGTCTCCCGTCACGAAGGGGTTAAGTATACAGAACAGTTGCGAGGAACAAAATACAAACATTGAGGCATAGGAGGAACAGTACAAGAATTACTATAAGATATTGTCAGATCAGGGCATCCCTCATGGAATTGGTGGGAAGGAGGAGGGACATCGTCTTTTTGGTATGAACGTCTCCATATGTAGCACTATGTAGTTGTTCAATTATGTCAGCTACTTGGGTTGCCAGGTATACATTGCATAGAGCATTATTAAAATTGAAGTGGTTTCACCAGTAATAGGCGGGGTCCCACTCGGCCCAAGACCAAGCCAAACCTCTTCATACAGGTCTCCCAGCAATCCCATCTTGTGATCCGTCCGGCTTTTATCTTACGAACATGCTACACACCCGCCGAACATCGTACGATGCTCGGCGGGTTTTCGAACATGTTCGTAAGTTTAAGGTCGTGCGACCTTACAGTAGTAGAGGTCGCACGGCTTCCACACACCTTGCGATAATCGTACGATCGTGGGATTTCCTGTGATTATCGTACGATTATCGCAAGGTGTGTGGGGACCCTTAGATGAACAATAATGAATCCAGGTGGTCCATATGTTATACAACTGCTGCTATTTGTCTTAACAAGTAGCTATCCACTGCTTAGGTTCCATAATGTCAGAGACGTGAAGAACCCACTCTTTTCTGGATGGGATTGTGCTGCTCTGCCAGTGTCTTGAGGTTAGCCAGTTCCTGCTGGCTTTTAAGAAAAATGTGGCTTCTGCAAATAGTGGTGTAACGAGTATTAATATGGAGAGTGCAATGTTTTGTAATGTGCTTAGATTAAATATTGCCCACCAATTAGGGTTTATGAGTACAAGTACACTGACATGACGTTCTGTATTTGACAAGAGTTTAGTCATCTTT